TTACATTAGAAGAAAAGGAGGATGTTGGTTTGGATTTTTTGGGGTAGGAGGTAGAGCAACAACTGGGTTGATGGTGGCGATTTCCGGCAGGTCTCGGCGGAGAAGAGATACTGTTGTTGGCTGGAGAAGAGAAACTGGGGTAGGGTGGGTGGGGTGTGGGGGCTTTTTTATTTCTTTTTCTTTTTCTTTGTGATTATTTTAAATGTATTAATTGCAAAGTTCCCATTTTGTCCTTAATGAATTTGGTCAATTTTGACTTTTTAGGTTGACTAACGGTCAAATGAATGGAAACGACCTCCGCCGCATATTTATTAAAGGTTTGAGATCTCCGCTGGCACAAATCAAAGTTTAGGGTAAAGTGCGCAAAAATCTAAAAGGTTTGGGACCGCAGCTGCAATTATCCCATAAATTTATCATCAGTTTTAAAGAGAATATAAATTGTTTTTAACAAATTAGTAAAAAAGTAATAATATTTACTAACTAAAAACATAAAAATAATAAAAAATAATAAAAAGAAAAAACCATATGGGGAGATAAATGGAGCAGGGGACCTACCTCGTCCCATCCCGCTTTAACCGAGTATGGGGATGAGACAAGGTAATAAAAATACCCAATGGGGCAGGAGTGGGAATGACTGACCCGTCTTATACTCGCCCCGCTGTCATCCCTATTTATAACTCTAGTCTTTATATATGTATGTGTGCTCGTGTCGAGTGATCGCGTTAAGAAAGATCGAAAAAGGTGAAGAGTAACATCGTAAAAATAGAGAAGAATTTAAGACAAAACATAGAATAATACAACAGAATTTTTACAAAGAAGCTTATTTAACAATATATCTCATTTTTTCCTCTTTCTTCATTTCAACCACACATTCTATCAATAAAATAATATTACACATAAACCCAAAAATTTTCATCACTTTTTAACCACACATTCTTCAATCAATCACTATTCCAGAATTTATTTTTTCTCCAAAATGGGTGTCAAACACATCCTTAATTTGTTGTTGCAAGAATAATGAAAAATTTAGGCAAATGACACTAAAAAGATACGTCTCAATTAAATCAATGAAAATTAAATAATTACTTCTAAATTGAATTCCTAGTTCGTACTATGTATACTTTATTTTAACAAATGTTTGTCATTTTAAGATTTCTACATAAAAAATTCACTTTTAGGCCATTTTTGCATTTCTATATCATAAAGAAATTTAAAATTATTTTTTATTATAAAACTATAGAGAAAGACAATAATAAGAAAAGAGAATATATAAGAGAGAAAAGTAGGCAGAGTCAAAAATCAAAATGTGTATTTTATTATAGCCAATTTCTACATAGAGAGAGTTTCAGTAAAAGTTACAATATGAATCGGTCCGATGTGTTGTCCCTTTCCAACCTTTATAGCCAATTCCTTGTCACCAAAATATAAGATAAAAAGTCAAAAAAAAAGGAAAGAATAATGTCATTTACCTAGAGTCTAGATGATCATCGATTTACGTGACCGTTAAACAATCCAAAGAAATAAAGAAAAGGAAAAAGAGGCTAGGGTATCATTAATTCTGCATAATGCAATTGAATACAAAATAATGAATTAACCTAGAAACAAAGAGATTATATATGTGCTAAATAAAAAAAATTGAAAAGACTATTATACCCTTAATAAACAATAAAATAAAATAGCCATATATTTAACCATATATTTCTTAACGGTGACAATAAAAACAATGCCTAAAATAGCCAATTTCTTCTCACCAAAAAAGAAGAAAAATAGTCGTACTAGAAAAATAATAATACCATTCGTCTAAACTCTAAATGGTCACTGGTCTATCTGATAGTGAGATCACTATCACATTGTCAAATTAACTTTAAATGCATAAAATACATTG